GATATAGTTGTAAGGGATTTCGATGGGTCTAAAAGGATGGTGCGTGGAGAGGTGGATCTCCCCATTAAAGTGGGATCACGAATTTTTAACTCCACCTTTTATGTAATGGACATACGTCTCGCCTACTCTTGTTTGCTTGGGCGCCCTTGGATCCATGGGGCAGGAGTGGTAACATCCACTCTTCATCAAAAATTAAAATATTCAGTCAAAGGAAAAATCTTTACCGTTTACAGCAAAGAAGAATTCATGGTTAGCCACCTGAATTCATTTAAGTAGGTGGAAATGGATGGTGAGTTTATAGAAACTTTGTGACAGGCTTTCAAAGTTGTTCCTCCTATGGTTGTCGCCACCGAAATATCCTCTGACATATCAAAAGCCGATGAAGTTGTACCAAGAATGGTTTCACTTAAAGATGCTTGTGTCGTGGTCGAAGATGGAAGCGGTACTATCTAGGGGAAACTCCCCGACATTCCGTTTAAAGAAGACAAATTTGGGATGGGTTTCACCATCAAAGCTCTGAAAGAGGTCAGGCGTGCTCGCGTGGGAAAGCCATATCTTCGCATTGGAAATCATGAAGTAAACGATGTGGAATATTTTAATGATGAATGTGCTTTTGAAGAATGGATATACCCTGCTGCCGGAGGAAAGCTCAACAACTGGAACGCAAAGGATTTCACTCCCATCTCCTTCATTAAGGAGTAATTACTATTTACTATTTTTTGTCAATTCAAGAACTTTTGTCTATAATCTTAATTCCAAACAATGACTTTTAAGCCATGTGCCTTACCCGGGGCACCATGGTCCATTTGTTAAGAGTTTTGTTCATGTTCATTTATCATATGATCATTTAATGAAAAACATTGGACCTTTGCATTCAAATTTTATGCTCATTGTATTTCTTTTTCTTTATTGCATTGTTCAAATAGCCATATATCTTACATGTACACACACACTTGCAGATCCTCATCCACTCTGGATCTCATTGCCAACGACTCTACTATTGCCAGTTATGACTTCGAACATCCAATTAACCAAGCCGAAGACGAAGGCGGGGAAGATTGTGAAATACCAGAGGAACTAACCAGACTTCTAATACAAGAAGAGAAAGCTATTCAACCTCATGAACATCCAGTCAAAGTTATCAACCTAGGTACTAAGACAGGAAAGAAAGAGGTCAAGATCGGCGCCAACTTAGAAGACGGTATCAAGAGAAGGTTGGTTCAGATGCTACATGACTATGTTGAAGTGTTTTCTTGGTCGTGTGAAGACATGCCAGGTTTAGATACTGACATTGTGGTTCATTGTCTATCGACAAAGGAAGATTGCCCTCCTGTCAAACAAAAGGTTCGTCAGATGCAGCCTGACATGTCTGAAAAGATAAAAGCGGAAGTGATGAAGCAATTCGATGTAGGATTCCTAGCTATGACATCTTATCCTCAATGGGTTGCAAACGTGTTCCCCATGCTGAAGAAAGATGGAAAGGTTCGTATGTGCGTAGACTATATGAACTTGAATAGGGCGAGCCTCAAAGATGACTTCTCTTTACCGCATATTAACGTCTTGGTTGACAACACCGCTCAACATAAAGTATTCTCCTTCATGGATGGATTTTCTGGCTACAACCAAATCAAGATGGCTCATAAAGACATGGAGAAGACCACCTTTGTTACACAGTGGGACACCTTTTGTTACAAAGTCATGTCGTTCATATTGAAGAATGTAGGGGCAACTTATCAACGAGCTATGGTAGCTTTATTTCATGATATGATCCATCATGAAATAGACGTCTATGTGGATGATATGATTGCAAGGTCACAAACCAAAGAAGAGCACCTAGATCACTTACATAAGCTATTTGAGTGGTTGAAGAAGTACAAGTTGAGGTTGAATCCTAACAAGTGCACTTTCAGAGTAAGGTCTGGAAAACTTTTAGGTTTTGTGGTCAGTGGTAAAGGCATCGAAGTTGATCCTACAATGGTTAAAGCCATTTAAGAAATGCTCGTTCCCCGTTATGAGAAAGAAGTTAGAGGATTCTTGGGTCGTCTTAACTACATTTCCCGCTTCATATCTCACCTAACTGCTACTTGTGAGCCAATCTTCAAACTCTTGAAGAAAGATCAAGTAGTCAAATGGAATGACGTCTGCCAAGATGCCTTCGACAAAATCAAGGAATATTTGCAATAGCCTCCTATCCTTATGCCTCCAGTTGAAGGAAGACCCTTGATCATGTATTTGACTGTGATAGAGAATTCTATGGGGTGTGTGTTGGGCCAACATGATGAGTCTGGCCGAAAAGAGCATGCAACATTATACCTGAGCAAAAAAGTTTACCGATTGTGAAACCAGATATTCACTGCTCGAGAAAACTTGTTGCGCTCTGGCATGGGCTGCTCACTGGGTAAGACAGTATATGTTGACTCATACCACTTTATTGATTTCTAAGATGGACCCTATCAAGTACATCTTCGAGAAGCCAACTCTCTCCTGAAGAATAGATAAATGGCAAATGATTTTGACTGAATATGATATCCAATACACCATACAAAAGGCCATCAAAGGAAGTGTATTGGCAGATCATTTGGCCCATCAAGATGTTAATTACATATCTATGAACTTTGACTTCCCGGATGAGAATATTATGCTAGTAACTGACTGTGAAAAGCCTGGACCGTATGACGGGCCTGAACAAGGATCCCGATATACTATGGTTTTCAATGGGGCTTCCAACGCTTTGGGAAATGGAATTGGTGATGTGATTATTTCTCCTGAGGGTTTCCGTACTCCTTTCACTTCTAGATTGTGCTTCGATTGTACAAATAACATGGCTGAATACGAAGTGTGCGTCTTAGATTTAAAGGTTGCCATGGACATAAGGATCAAGTTCTTGAACATATTCAAAGATTGTGCTCTAGTGATCAGTCAAGTCAAAGGAGAATGGGACACTAAACATCCTAACCTTATTCCTTACAAGGAACTTATGTTAACCATGATACCATACTTCGAAGAGATCACCTTTGAACATTTCCCTAGAGAAGAAAATCAGTTGGCTAACGCCTCGGCAATAATGTCTTCCATATTCAAGGTCAAATGGGACAACGAAGCTCCTATGATTACAATCGAAATATTTGACGAACCTGCACACAACTATGAGCTTGACATTGACGAAGAGAAACCATGGTACCATAAAGCAAGGAGATATATTGAAGCACAAGAGTATCCTGAAGGAGCTTCCATCAATGATAAGAAATTCTTGTGAAGATTCTCAGCCAAATTCTTCCTAAGAAATGGAATCCTGTATAAGCGAAATCATGATTCTACTCTACTCCAGTGTGTGGACGAGAAGGAGGCAGAGAAAATTATGGAAGACATGCATGATGGAATCTTTGGGACTCACTCTAGTGGGAACACTATGACCAAGAAAATCCTGAGGGTTGGTAACTATTGGTCCACAGTGGAAACTAATTGTTATCATCACTCAAGGACTTGTTACAAATGTCAAATCTATGGTGACAAGGTCCATGTACCCCTAACTCCACTGAATGTCATGATCGCTCCATGGCCATTTGCAATGTGGGACATTGACATGATTGGAGAGATCAAACCTACTGCTTCCAATGGATTCCATTTCATCCTTTTTGCCATTTATCACTTTACCAAGTGGGTTGAAGCTGCCTCGTATCCTCAGTTACCAAGAACGTTGTAGCCAGGTTTATCAAGCATAACCTCATCTGCCGTTACGGTATCCCCGAAAGGATCATCACTGACAATGGAACTAATCTCAACAATGATATGATTACAGAACTTTGTACTCAATTCAAAATCAAGCATCACAATTCTTCTCCGTACAGACCCAAGATGAATGGCGCAGTGGAAGCTGCCAATAAAAACATTAAGAAGATTATGCAAAAGATGGTGGTAATCTGCTATCATACCCCATTTTTTACCCCTAATTTGTTCATTCATAACATCATATGCATTTACATCATAAATCTTTCATTCATTTCATCCTTTAAGGCATGGGATCAAATGGCTCTTGGCATTAGGGTTTCCCCCTATAAATTGAGGTTACTACCTCTTTCAAGTTGAGTCCACTGTTTCGTTTATCACTCTTGGTATAAAACCAGGGTTTTAGATTTACGAGTATCATGGGTATTTTCCTTGGAAATATTCCTCAAGATACAAAGTTTTCTTCATCAGAATTTTCTTCGAAGAAAAAATGCATTAGGGTTTCTCCTATCTTGCTTGAGCATTGATAATGATTCTTCAACAAAGTTCATCATGCTAGGGTTTACATCTTATCATGCTTGAGTTTGTCGGCATTTCGATTGAAAGTCATTGGAACTCATACTTTAAATCCTATCATTCATCTTTAAGTCGTCCCTCAATGCATTAATCTTGTTTCAAGATTAATAGTTATCAAGCTAGACGATTTTGTGGATTAAATTGCGAAACATGAATCATGGCATGAAAGATGTGATTGAGATTTATTTGTAAGCAGAGTTTGGTTCCTATTCAATTATTTGGTTGCTTACAAATTATTTTGGATTTGAATTGAAGACTAAAATTTGAGTTTGGAAAGTCCATGTTTATGGCTTACTTGAAATGCAATTTACAAGTGCTAAGTTATAGTTTAAATCCAAGTTCAAATTTATTCCATGGCATCATTTGGAATTCCAAAAAAAACTTAAAGTATCCATCATTTCCTGCAAATGTATTTCCAAGATCAAAGTTGTAAAGTTAGAAAACTGATGAATTTTGTTTTCTTGGAATTTAGAAGATTACATCATGATTCAAGAGAAGATTACAAGCATGCCATATTTCAAATTTCACTGGATTTCACTTGGTTCATCATCATTCATCCATGGTTCATCTCAATACAAGTTCATTCAATTCAAAGCTTTGTGCAAGCATAATTCAAGTCAAAATTCAAAGTAATTCAAATTCAAATTTACATCATAATACATCAAAAATTCATAAATAAAAGATACAAGAAATTTTTTTTATCTAAAGTTCCTAAGGCTTATCTTCCTCTCGCCAAATGACACCAAAGTTTCTACCTTGACATCAAATTGTGGTTTGAAATCTGCAACAACAAAAAAACAGGACCTTGTTATACCAAACAGAACCTGCCCTGCAGACATCAACAAGACCAGTTCCAAAACCAGTAGCCGGCATCGATTCAAAAGCTCAAAGAAATCCACCCTGCACCATTGAATTTCAATTACAAAAAAACACTAGAAATAGAAGATGCAAAAGGAATTATTAAATCAAGGAATTATTCAAAAATCATAAATCCAAATGTTACAGCTCATAATATTTCAAGCTTTTCTAACAAGCTTTATAAATATAATTTTAGAGGAAAATCACCAAAAACAGAAACAGAAGAAAGTTGAGAGAAGTGTGTGCAAGAAGTTTAAGCAAACTCATCAAAACGGAAGCAAAAGGGCAAGGAGAGAGGCTGAAGATATTTTTTTGAAAAAAAAAACTTTCAGAAGAAGCTTCCCATGAGATTCATCGCAATTGTTCATTCATATAACAAATTTTTTAAGATCAAAGGCCAAGATCACTTTACCTGTAACAAACTCTTACAGCTATAAATTTTAACTTCTGCTCCAATATTGGGAGAGGATCCATGGTTGCAAAGACTTCTCAGAGAAGTTTCAGAGTTCTCTCTGAAATTCTCTGAGGCTTCCACGATTCATTATGCATTTTTCTCCAAAACTTCATCTCTCCAAAAAAAAACTCACTCTCTAACTACTTCTCTGTACAGCTTCATCTTCATCAACAAATCTGAATTTGCCTCTCTACAATGATCATCAACATCATGCATACTTCATCAAACCTACATCATCTTCAACGCTACTGTAATCTGGTTGCATCGATTTATCAATTTGCATCCATTAAAACAATAACAGAAACGCATACATGAAGAATCAAGGGAAACAAATCCTAAAAAAATCTGAAGAGGAAGTGATTACGAAGAAGCAGTGGAAGTGAGTATACCTATGAATTCACAATCCTCTTTACTGATTTGAAGAAGGCACCGGACTTGCCTCCGTTAGGTAAGTATACTTCACTCTCTTATGTAATTTTACTGTCTTATTCAGATTGATTGCATTGAATATTTTCATCACTGCATAATCTGAGTTGAGATATTGAGACGAATCCACAGTGAATTAATTTGAGGCGAAGAACTGAAATAAAGTCATGTAGCAGTTGAAATTTGAATGAAGCAGACCGAGGAGGCTGAGAGGTTTGCAGAGCTGCTGAGTCTGATACCGTTGGAGAAGGTTGATTCAGAAGTAAATGAGGTCGACGACTGAAGGTGATAATTGGCGACGATTTGAATCGAAGAAGGTGATGGAAAACAGTCATGGTGTCGTGGTTGAAGAAGTGGATTGAGCATATGCCCATGGCGGTGCTACGTTTATACAGATCGGAGTTTGAAAGTTTGAGCCGCGAGATGAGAAGTTTAGGACGCACCGCTCAAAGAAGGTACGAGACTGGGTTGGTGCGACGATGCTATGAATGGTGAAGTTGAATCGAACGCGTGGAGAATGTTGAGACGTCGAAGCAGGAACAATCAGAGGAATCGAACGAGGTTGAATCAGAGATGAGCAGAGAAGGATGCAACGCGTTTGAAGTAAGGACGGAATCAACTAACAAGCGGAGATCCAAGCGTAACGGCGAAGAAGAAGAAGGTGACAAAATGGAAGTATGGCAGAGAGAGATGAGAGCGGCGACATATTGAAGAGGGAGAGAGGATGTTGAGACTCTGTTTCACGAGTAATTTGAAGATTTAAATTCTTTGTTTTTTACCCTAGCTTTTGGCCAAAAAACGACGTCACTTCATTTTTTTTCTTTTCTATTATTTCTGTTTTTTTACTGAAGACTAATTATTAAAATAAGATTTGAACAGAAATAATATGTTGTTGGGCTGGACCTAATCAGTGCACTCTTTGCCTAAGCCCGTGCATTTTTTTTTGGAGCCTATTGCTTTAAACCACAAAATTTCTTCCTGGACTCGATTTTGATGGGCCTAACGCCCAATTTTTGAACCACACCCCTGATTCCAAATTTCATACCTCTTATATTCTCTTTATTTTATTATTTCTCTCCCATTTTATTTGTTTTAGTTTTAATTTCTTGATTTTAGGTATTAAAATAATAATAAAATAATAAAAAAAGATATATAAAAAAATACTTTAGGCTTTTATAAGTATTTTAGGATTCAATTAGATTTTATTTCTATTATTTCTTCATGCTTTTAATTTCTTTTAAATCAAGTTTACACATCTTGTTTTATGTGTTTTCTTTGTGTAATATTGATCAAATAAGATGCTTGAGAATTGAGGATTATCTTGCGTTGAAATGCCATGCTCCTTTAGGATTCCATGAGACGATTAATATCCCTTTTGATTGTTTTATGTTGATTAGACCATAGGTGGTTAATACAAGCACAAGCATCAAGATAGCTTTCCCTTTTAACTCAACCTTTGAACCATTTGAGATATTCTCCAAATAAAATACTCCAGCTCATTTAAATCATTTTGTGCTCTTTGTGCACTTTTCTCTTTAAAAATCGTTTCCCAAAAGATTAGACTCGTGTCAATCCTTGTAGTGATGTGAGCTACTATACTTCTACGATATGTAGTGAAGAGATATATTTTCCACTTGGGTGTTGAGTGAGGATTTGTTGATTTTAAACCCAAGCCATATCCTCAACTTTAAGATGATGCAAATTCTCCTTCCACATGATTGAGGGTAGTAAGTATGTTCCTCCACACGGACAATGACAATTATGTCTCGTCTTTTAAAATTAACCAACAAACTTGTGTTTTAATTTTTTTAAAGAAGAACTACGGGTGTTCTGATTCCTCCTGGGATACGTAAGCACTGGATTGAAGATTCGGGCGAACGCAATAATAAAAAACTTTATTTTTTCCAAATTGATTCATTCATGCAAATAGCTCTTTTTAATAGCCAACATACACAAATTTACAAAGAGGTTCCTGCGGAGTACCGTAGATGTTTAGGGTGCTAATACCTTCCCTTTGCATAACCAACCCCTTACCTTGAATCTTTCCCCCCTCTTTTGGGTTATTCTCTCTTTTCCCATTCCTTTGGAAACAATAAAGCGCGGTGGCAATTTTTAATTTTATCTGTGCGAGTCAATTCAATCTAATGGCTTAGTCTCAACATTTCTACCGCTACACATACAAAGATTGGCACGAGATGCTACCGTTTGCTCTTCCTGGCTACCGTACTTCAACTTGAACTTCAACTGGGGCAACCCTTTTCTCTTTGGTTTATGACATGGAAGTTGTCTTGCCTATAGAAGTTCAAATTCCTTCCCTAAGGATTATGAAAGAGGCAGATATAGGCGAAGACGAGTGGGTGCAGACTAGGTTGGATCAGCTAAACTTGATCAATGAAAAGAAACTGGCTGATGTCTATCATGGTCAAACGTATCAAAGGTGTATGATCAAGGCATTCAACAAGAAGATCAAACCTCGAGTATATTAGGCTGGCGACTTCGTAATAAAGTGCATCATTTTACCATAAGGCGATCCTAGGGGAAAATGGACTCCCACTTACGAAGGGCCATTTTTTGTCAAGAAAGTATTCTCTGGAGGTGCTATGATGCTGACCACTATGGATGGCGAAGACTTCCCACATCCTGTGAACACAGACATAGTTAAAAAATACTATGCATAAAATGACCCGCTAGGTTGACACACCTAGGAAAAAATAAGGGCATCCCGACGAACCAAAGAGGTACGGGCAAAAATTAGGGATATATACAAAAAAATTATACACCTAGCAAGTTGAAAACCTGAAAGGGCGACTTGGGTAAAAAATGGGTATCCTGGTGGGCTGAAAACCCGAAAGGGTGGTCCAGGAAAAAATAAAGGATTAAAACGTATGACTGTGTCCCATGAAACCTCTACATCCAGCTTTATTACCAAGGTCCAAGTTCAAATGATCCAAGATCAATCAAATCAACTTCTTTCAACAGCAATGGATGATGTTCGAAGACATAGGGGCAATAGTGAAGTTGGAACACAATGAGATCACTTCCACATGGCTATTATTTTTGCTTTCACTTTGTATTTCCTTTCATTATTTCGACAATTTCCTCTTACTAGAATCTCTGTCTCTTTTTACAAAAATGCCTATTCATGGGCAAAACATCAATACAAATATATTTTGAGGTGCAAACTTTTTTTTTTGTTTTGAGTGCAAAAGCGTCCAATGACTAAAATTGAATGAACATATGCATATGAACATGATTAAACTATTTAGCAAATGTATGCTTGAAAACAGTAACAAGTATCTCCTTAAGGAATTTGAAGATATCCTCAGAGTTATCCCCTCAGAGTTTGGATTCATGAAATCCCCAGCCAGAGTCTCAACCTCTGGAAAATCCTCTCCTTAACTAATTTGAAGGAGTCTTATGGAGTCCCTTCCTAAAGAGTACACCTCCCCCAACAGGCTACAAATTCCCCAGCTCGAGTTTGCCTCTCAAACTATTATAAATCAATGGACAAAACCCCTTAACCTCCGGTTAAGTCATTATTACCCCCAACAGAGTCGGTATTATCCCCAAAAGTTACTGTGAAGCTTGGAAACCGATCAGATAATAGTTGACTCCATTTCTCTGAGAAAGTTACTATGAAGCCTGGACCCGACCAGATAATAGTTCAGCTTCATTTATTTCAAAACAAGTTACTATGAAGACTGGACCCGACCAGATAACAGTTTGAGTTGTTGAAACCTGGACCCGACCAGATAATAGTAAATCTCAATTTTAAGTTACTAAAGCCTGGACCTGACCGGATAATAGTTTATCTTCTTCAGTTACTGCAAAGCCTGGACCCGACCAAAAAACAGTTTGAGTTGTTGAAATCTGGACCCGACTAGATAATAATAAATCTCAATTTTAAGTTACTAAAGTCTGGACCTGACCAGATAATAGTTTAACTTCTTCAATTGCTGAAACCTAGACCTGACCAGATAACAGTTCGAGTTGCTGAAACCTAGACCCGACCAGATACCAGTTAACCTCAAGATTCAATTGCTGAAACCTGGACCCGACCAGATAACAGTTCGAGTTGCTGAAACCTGGACTCAACTAGATACCAGTTAACCTCAAGATCAAATTGTTGAAACCTGGACCCAACCAGATAACAGGTCGAGTTGCTGAAACCTAGACCTACCAGATACCAGTTAACCTCAAGATCAAATTGCTGAAACCTGGACCCGACCATATAACAGTCAGAGTTGCTAAAACTTGGACCCGACCAGATAACTGTTCGAGTTACTACGAAACCTGGACTCGACCAACTAATAGTTTAACTTCTTCAAATCACTAACAAAACTCCTCTTCCCCAGTAGATTTTCCATTATCCCCAGTGAGTTACAGCAAAGCCTGGAATCCGACCAGATAACAGTTAACTTCTTTATCCCCAGCAAGTTGTTGTGAAACCTGGAATCCAACCAGATAACAGCTAAACTTTCTTCCTCTCCAATCAAGAGATAGCTCCCCGAAGAGCAATGGACAATTAAAACTCTTGAATTCTAGTTCCCAAGAAGAAATCAACACTCTCCACAGAGTTTTCTCAAGCCAAAGT